AAACGAGTGAAAAAGAAGGATGATAAGGCGATGAAAATGATAATTACGTCAATGTAGGAGAGAGTGAACGACTGATGAAATGAGTAGATGAGTAGCGGCAATAATAAGTAATGATTAAGCTAAGAACATTAAAATGATCATTGAGTAGAGATTGTGCAACTTTTGAAGAAGCATAGTAATAGTAGTAGCTATTGTTGTAGTAGTAGTAGCGGTAATCGTAGTAGTAGTAGTAGAGTAGTATTAGTAGTAGTAGTAGTAACAGTAGTAGTAGTAGTAGTAGTAGTAACGACAACAACTACATCAACAACAATAGCAAACCCGGCCATATTGGTGAGTTTTAACAAGTGCTTGTCCGATCTTATTTGCTAGGACAGGGTCTTTCGGGTTCTTTTTTATGGAAACTTCGTAAGATTCTATCGCTTTGTCAGGCTGAATTGATGAATGAATGAATTAGTTAATGAATGAATGAATGAATTAATGAATTAAAAAATGGGTAAATGAATGGATGGATGGATGAATTAAAAAATGAACGAATGAATAAATGGATAATGAATGAATGAATGAATGAATTAATGAATGAATTAATTAATTAATTAAAAAATGGATGAATGAATAGATGGATGAATGAATGAATAAATAATTGAATGAATGAATTAATGAATGAATGTATGAATAACACACTTGTTGAACTTCCATATAGGCATCACCTAGAAGAACACCAGTTTCTATACTTGGACTCTTCTCGTATAAATCTCTTGATTGAGATTTTAACAATCAATCAACCACCAACCAACCAATCAACCAGCCAGCCAACCAACCAATCAACTAAACTATCCAACCACCAACCAACCAACCAACCAACCAACCATCCAACCAACCAATCAATCAACCAACCAACCAATTAACCAATTAATATAAGCAAACAAAACAAACGAACAAACAAATAATCAATCAATCCTCGCCAGTTTTGAATAAAATTCATTCAAAATCTCATTCAATTAACATTCTAATTTTTGAATATATCAATCTTTGAATATTCAATCTTTAAATACATCAACCAATCTTTGAATATATCAATCAAACATTCAATCAACTTTTAATTAATTACTCAATCAATCAACGTAAATTTTATCCTATTAATCAACCGACCAGCAAGCCAATCAACAAACAAACTTGTAACAGTTTATGTAAAGTTTCTGATCTTTGCGCTGGTTCAGATATATATCTGCCATCTTCACTTTGGCCTAGAAAATTTTATCTCGTTTTAAAAATATCACAATGGCTAGAGACGCCTATTTTTTATTTTTTATTTTTTAAGTGTTGCAGAGGCCGAGTTCGAAGACGCAAACACGTCCGCTCATATCGGAGCACGTATTCTTTTTGAGAAATACCAAAGAGTAAACTACTGCTACTACTACTGCTACTACTACTACTACTACCACTACTACTACTGCTACTGCTACTACTACTACTGCAACTACTACTACTGCTACTGCTTCTACTACTACTCCTGCTGCTGATACTACTCCTACTGCTACTACTACTATAATAATAATAAGAATAATAATAATAATAATATTAATGATAATAAGAATATATAACACCTGGACGTAAAAAGTTTGTTGGGGAGTTATATTTTTAAGAACGACCAAGGCCTCCTCCGACTGGCCACTGGCTACTAAGAGGTCCACATTACTCAACATCAACCTCGTCTCTTCAGCTGTGCCCCTTGAACTCCTCCATCGCTTCGGTCATCATGTTTGTCGCTTCCGTCTGTTTGTGATGTGTGCGTGTGTGTGTGCGTGTGTGTGTGTGTGCGTGTTTGTTGTCGTGAAGTGTGTGTGTGTGGTTGTTGAGAGGGTTTGCTGTTTCGCTGTTGTCCATCATGTTGTTGCATGGTGTATGAAGTCTCTGTTGTCTGTTTGATTGTTTGTATTCTGTCGTGTTGTGAAATATATTTGAAACAACGACAAAAACAAACAAACAACAACAACAACAACGACAACAAACTGTTTTCCCCATGAGCCTGAAGACGTCGATGAGCTCCATGTAAATAGACATTCGATCATTAGTTGATATTTTCATTGCTGCCGATGACGTCACTGATGACGTCATCTCTGCTGTTGTTGTTGTCGTTGTCGGCGGTTTTTTGTTCGATTTCGAAATTTTAGAATCTTACAATTACAATGATAACGATGATTGAGTGTGTTGGCGATTGTGTGATGATGATGTGAGAGTAGTTAATGCGGAAACTTCACCAACGCTAATAGTAATAATAATAATAATAAAAAAAATATAAATAACTATGATAACCTGTTTTTTTGACGCCAGGCAGTGCCATTGCTACAAGCAACGTCTTGAGGGCCTCATCGTATTTCAATTGCTTTTTGAAGATTTGGCTTTTAATCAGGTTATATACAGGGTGTTCACGCACCTATTTATTATTTATATTATTTATATTATTATTATTATTATTATCATTATTGTTATTATTATTATTATTATTATCACTATCATTGTTATTATTATTAATATTATTACTATTATTATTATTATCAATATTATTATTATTATTATTATCATCATCATCATCTTCATCATCATCATCGAACTTTGCGGCCAATTCAAGTTGTTTCGCCATCAGCTCCGGCTGTTCAATTTTCAACCTCAACAAGACTCTGAACGGACAAATTAATAACTTTACCATCGTCATCATCATCGTCATCGTTATCGTCATCATCATCATTATCGGCATCATCATCAAGACCTTTCTTGGACATCACGTGACTTGATGAGGTAGTCCAGTTTTTCTCTATGCTGGCCCTTCCTCAACATGACCTCCGAAAGGAGTAAGTTGCATCTAATCAGCTCCATCATCGCGCTGAGGTCAGTTGCTGAAGTTGATGATGATGACGAAGATGATGATGATTATGATGATGAAGATGATGATGATAATGACGAAGAAGAAGATGATGACAGTTGCTGAAGTTGATGATGATGACGAAGATGATGATGATTATGATGACGAAGACGATGATGATAATGACGAAGAAGAAGATGATGATGGTAATAATGATGAAGAAGAAGATGATAATGATGAAGAAGGAGATGATGATGATGGTGTTATTTTTGTTG